GAACACAAAATCTGGAGTTCAACTAAAAGAAACTTCTACTAAACCAGCAGCTCATGTAAGAAATTCCTACTACAGAACACACTCAGCTGGAATAAACTCCAACTAAATCTGCAATTCAGCTGGAAGAAAAATTAAACTCCCACTAAACCAATCTTTATGGATAACCAACCATAAAAAGTATGTTAGGAAGTCAATGTGACAGAATTCTTTCTTTCTTTAAACCAAAACTTCTAAAATTGAGTAGAAGTTATAATTTTCCAATCAGTAATAACCTCCTCTGACATAAATACCTAAATAAATACTTGTTCAATGCTGCCCTATGTATGCAAAAAAGTTTTTACGCATGTCACAAGCCTTCTATCTTCCCCTACAGTGCAATTGGCTGATTTCACTGCATCTCATGCATAAACTCTCCACCAATAGAAGTGTGACATACTCTCATGACGCATGTGACTCCCTTTATAACATTCTACCTAACTATCATTTCGAGTTTTAGCAGAAGATGAAAGCACCAGTTTTCAGTGGGGAGATAGGTACCTATGGGAAATACATTTTCAGTGTTGGAAAATTATAACTTTCGATATGGTACGTTACCTCTTCTCACATAAATAGCTAGAACCCCACATTGAATAGGTGAAGGGACTGGTGCAAGGGAAAGAAAGAAGCATCCTTCAAAAGCATCTGAAGGGTACTCACTAAGATGAGACAGCGATTCTAATATCTGATGTGGGGAACCACACCACGTCTGAACCAGGTATACTCTTCACTCATCGTAGAAAGATGTTGCATATATGGGTGGAAAACAGAGGAACACTTCCAAATGGGAGAGAACTATGCTAAGAAAGTGATCTGAACCATGCAATAGTCATGAAACTTAATCCTAGAAAGTGTAAAAGTGGGTAAAATGAAAAGGATGTGTCCCTAGGTATAGTGGCTAGGGCGTGACAGACCATACACGACAAGTCAACTATATCCTAAGCCCATGCTGCCGGAAACTGACATCCACGCAGGGGTAGGATGAGGATCGTATCATTGGTAAGTCAACTACAATACAAAACCTTGCTGCCGGGTATCAATATTCATGTGGGGGTAAGAAAGAAGATCATATCATCAGCAAGTCGACTACAATCCAAAACCCAACCCAGGTCACCAGGAACCGACAACCATGTGGGGGTAGGAAAGAGGGTCATACCATCTTCACTTCAAGTTTATGATACTGGAGGGAATCCAGTACCTCCCGACTCATGAATGGGGCACATGTGAATATGATAAATTGATAGATCAATCCGGGAACCTGACATCCAGTATCGAAAAGATGTCTACATAACATAAACCATTTCCCTTAAATGCGAAATTGACCAGAACCACCCCAACTGCAGTAACATCCTTGGAATAAAAAACACTGAGGGAAGAGAAAGACCCATAACAATCCACAATCACTTCTACCATGACAACACCGATGGAGTATAAAAGAGGGAAGAATATAAACATTTGTAATACATGAGTGAGGACTTATAATGAATAAAATGATGAGATGAAGAACTGGAAGGAAGAACAGGTAAGGGTTGAGAAGGACGGGGATAGGAAACAGGAATTGGGGCTTGTTGTGGTTCTGACTGTGACAAACGAGTTACCAAAGAGGAAAGGGTAGATTCTGATGCATAGACTGCACATGTGATTCCAAAGTCTCAGATACATGGTTCAAAACATGCTGCCAAAGAGGGGCCATACATAAACTTTTAGATAAGTGGGCCAGAAGATCCCCAAAACAGAAATACCATGTGTGTAAAGCAAGAGCCGAACACAAAAACCCTCGGGATCTTGGTGTATTGCCTCGGAAAGGAAATGGATGGTAAATAAATACCATAGAAATGAAGTAAGGTAAGACGAAGGCATGAAAATTGGGCATGAGTTAAATACACAGGAAAATCGGGGATTGCTCCCACACACACAGGTGAAATAGACCCCAACTTCTGAGAGTCGGGAAACAGTCAGTCAGCTTGATGGTAAGCCAAAGCAAGCTTATCTGTAGCTCGTGGAGGGCGAGGCATGCTGGCACCCTCAACCAATTGTGAAGCAAGTTGCTCAGCATGAGCCCTAATATCCGGGGAGGGTGGGGAAACTAAATTATCATGCAACAAAAAAGGATGGGGATAATAGGAATCAGGGAAATGGATAAAACATTACATATCTGAGAAATCATATCTAACAGCTTATTCGATGTAGCTGATTTTGGAGGTTGGGCATAGGAAGACACGGTAAAATCTGATAGTGGAAAAAGACTATGAAAATCTTCATTTACCCAAACAGGTTTGGCTTGTTCACAAGAAAGTGGCTGACCCATACAACGATCAATCTCTCAGCGGATAATAGCTGATAAATCCAATGACGGGTCAACCCCACCTGGAGTCTGTGAAAGAGTGCTTGTAGGAGGTATGATACCCAATGTGGTAACACGAACCTCAGAATTCATTTCAGAAATATGAATCCAACAAAAAATGCAAACAAGAGAGAGAGAAGGAAAATAATGAGTAGGAAATTAATTTAAAGTAAAAGGTATCTTCAATATAATGAAAAAAGTAATGAAGAAATCCCACTTCAGAATTGAAACTATTAAATTTACGAGTGCAAAGCACATGAAAAGCAAAAAACGTCTGAACACAAGTATTGCCAAATGAGAAGTGATAGTCAGGTAGAATGGAATAGAGGGAGTCACGTGTTGCACTTCTATTGGTGGAGAGTTGACACATGATGATTTGCATGAGAGACGATATAGAGGGCAGTACTGAAGGAGAATATTTATGTGAGGGGAGGAAATGTACCATATCGGAATAAATCACTGTTGTTAGAAAGCAGAAAATAAATACTCGTATGCCTTTTTAAGTGCTAACTAGTTCAATTTTAGAAATCTTAATGAAGTGAAAACTCACATTTGTGGCATTCAAAACACAAGGTATTAGGCTAAAGAACTTGTCCAGTAGGCAGAGTAACAGGTTTGAATCCTGCTTTATCTCAATTGTTCATTGAGACTGTTAAATTACAGCTCTAGTAATTTTATTATCAATACTGACATCTATAAGTGTCATCCAATCAGTTTTATATTGATATTAAGTAATTTCTAAGTTAATCATGTCCAAAAAGTACAAACAAAAACAACGTTGACAAGAAAGTTTATTACACATAATTCATTATTTCCTCTAAACCAATTATTATGATAATGACAAAAACAAATCAGAGATATTTAGATTGATTTTGTTTTTAATTTTTCTTGCAGCCAAATCTAAATAAAGGTTTTTACATGATACAAACATCATGTATATTGCAGCTGTCCAAAGTTTTAATAACTAGTAATCCAAACAAGGTAGAGAAATGCCAGTACTGACTTTTAGTCTCTTAGAGCTTACTTATTCTAAAAAGTACAGTAGTTTCTTGTGTATTATTTTTAACACCACTAATAAAAACAATGATATTTTAAATAACTACAGTATGTATATATGTGTGTTAAAACATATGGAACAAATTGTTTTCAGATACAGAGATAATGGGGAAATTTTATCTAAAATTGATTCATCATTGAACAGATATTACGAGAACAGTTACATAGGTAATAAATTTTAAAAAAATTACTTTTACACTCCACAAACAATTTCATAGAACTTTTTACTTTGAAATATATTATTAGCTAATCGAGTTTTCATGTATCAAGAACAAATAAACTAATCCTGCAAAGCATCCACGATTGCAGTGGTTAACGTAATGCCATATAAATACATATTTTCATAGCACGAATCATACTCTATCATAAATGATCCCCCTTACTGTAAGATTAAGCTGTTCTTTCTCATTGTTGTCTCTCTTGATCAATACGAGAATGTTCATCTTCCACCAGTTTCTTCAATTCTTCCTAAAATTTGTAAAAAGTTAACTTTTAATTTTTCAAAATACAATAATAACTATTACAATACCAGGTATGAAAAGTTTTTTTGGTGTACAAAACTTGAAGATAGCTTTTATGTTTGGAAACATCTGTTAGCTGTGTTCCTGCACAGATCTTAAAATATAACGTTGATAAATGGAAACATCGGCACGTGTAGACACGTAGATCTTGAAAGTCGAGATGTTGATAACTGGACCAATTGTTGTTTGAGATGTGGCAAAGGAAATATCTGCTGAAGCTTTTCGCCAGGCACTAATCATAGCAAAACCGTCTGGAAAATGATCTATAGGAAATAGTACAGTTTATAAAATGAGTCAGATCAACGTAGGCTGGTAAGGCAATCATTGATGGGCATGTCCTTTAGTCAATCAGGAAATGTCGCAGACCTACTGAAGGATGTGTAGATTGTATAGGAATTCTTTTTGGTGGCAAAGGACAGGTTTATGTGTTTTAATAAGGGTGGCTTCCAAAATATAGAGATGAAAGGTCGACTGACCATTTGCAATAATTTCAAACCTGCTATCCATGTAGTTGTCAGCACAAGTCGGGTTCACTAGTAAATGCTGGCCAATCGCTGATTCACATTTTGGTGGTAGAACTTTTTGTTTTACAGGAGCAACATGGTAATTTATTTTCTTTCACGCTCTTAGTTCTTATGGATGTGGCTACATGTTATTTAATTCTATCCTGCAATCTTTGTGAAGTGTGACCTACGTAACGACATTCACAGTGGCACAAGAATTCATAAATAACCATACTTTTCTGTGTGGTAGGTATCTCATCTTTGTGTGTTGCAGGTAACAATTTACGTATGGAATAAGCACAGTAGGGGTTCACTGCAGGAAGACATTTAGTAATGGCTGTTTTCAATTGTTTTTTAAATTTTGTTGAAATGTTACCAATCTATGGTAGTTTTAGGTAAACAGGACATTTGTTAGGACCAAATTTTGGGTCAGTTGAGAAGCTCACAACATGTCTGGCAAAAAACTTCAGCAGATATTTCCTTTGCAACATCTCAACCAACAATTGGTCCAGTTATCAACGTTATATTTTAAGATCTGTGCAAGAACCCAGCTAACAGATGTTTCCACATATAATAGCTATCTTCAAATATCAGGTTTAGTTGCAGAGCTACAAATATGACCCAAACTGTCAAAGAAACAACACATTGAATTTAACAGACTGTTATATAAAAGTAATATACACTAGTTAATAATAACAAAAGTTATAAAATAAGAATAAGGAATATTGTAGGGAAAAAATAAAAATCAAGAGCTGATGTTTTTAGTTCTTTTCTTCCCTATAAAAAAATTAAAAGTTTTATAACAGAAACGGCTACTTACCAAAAACAATGCATTGAAAAAGTTAGTTTTAATGATTTAACATATGCTTTACAGAATGTTTATCTATCCCATAAAAAAGAACATTTAAAAAGCTTATTATTATTTCAGTATCAGATAATCTACAATACAACCTCCATAAATTTTGTTATTCTTCAGCTATTACTTCTACACAAACTTCAAAATCAGGATCCTTTATATACTAGAACTATGAATTTACTGAATGTATCTTCAAAAAATTTGACAAGTCTGTTGTACACAGAAAAATAAAAATTTCTGATAAATATTTATCTGTGAATTTCGAAAGCTTTTAAAGAATCAGTCAGATTCAAGGGTGATATTCATGTTTAATTTGCCTAACCTCTAGAACCTCCTAAATTAATATGTAAAGTTTCATAAGGTAGTACTTCATATTTTATTTGTTACTTTCTCTACCATAACACTAACTGTAGTGGAAGCACCAATATACAATAAAATAAATAATACCTTTATTATTTTATTTCTTCTTTGAATTCATCATTTGTTGCTACATCCTCAACTAATGATATTCACATCTATTGTTTAATTGCCTGGCTTGTACCACATAAGCAGTTTATTTCTTTCTCGAAAGCCAACAAATCACAGTGAGAACATAATTGCAGATTCTTGTACATCAAAGTACTACACAACATTAAATTGCATTCGAACATATAGCCAAATAGACCTAGTTCTATTTTCTGCATTTGCTGTCCAAAGAAAAATTCATGTACCTTACAAATATGCATTTGAGAACACAAAAACTATATCAATCACTAAAACAAAATGTCCCAAAACTAGTATCATTTAATTGGCTATAGACTTAAGCAATATTGATAAAAGGGTTAGCGCAAAGGATCACATATAAAGTGTAATGAACTTAAAATATGACCCAAAACTCGAGCACTTTCGAATAGTTGACTATTCTTCTTCAGGAGAACAAAGGGCGACCTTTAGCCTGCACAATGCAATATATATGACATCATGTAAACTGGAAGTCCCAGTTGAGTTGAATCTGGTGATCAGCCAATCCCAACTTAAGCTGTTAGTCTCCCGGATTATATAGGTTTGATGTGGTTAATGTAGTATTTGCCCAATAGTAGGCAAATTCCTAAATCAAGTTAGCAGAATGTCTAAACTATCATCAAAAGCAAACATGCTCTATATCATTATAGTATTTTGGCACTTGCGTATAAAGTTAAAATCATAAATAATATTCAATGTTAAACTGGTGCACAATTAAAAACATTTTATTTAGGCCTATCTATGGCCTTCAAAAAGTTGACGACTCTACATGTTTCGACGTTAAACGTCAACCTTTTGAACGCCATAGATAGGCCTAAATAAAATGTTTTTAATTGTGTACAAGTTTAACATTGAATATTATTTATGATTTGAATGCTCAATATCATTTTAACCTTTCTGCCAATCTTTTCATAGTTTATACAGTCACTCACCTTCTGAGAATTTTTAATTCCACTCTATGTGCACAAATGGGGATCAAAACGTGTATGTTGTGAGTTTTTACAAGGTTACATTAAAATTGAATTATGTAAATAAAACTAGCATTAAAAAATAGCTTATAATCCAAATCTTTAGTAAAAACAGTTTATTAAAAAATCTGTTTTCTAAAAGTTTGGCATATAACACATGGTAAATTTGCAATCATATTAAACATTAATTCTGCAATATGGGATTACACATAGGGTTTAGAAATACTTGCAAAACACAAATTTTAATCCAAAAATAGTGTAGAAGAATACTTACACCCCAACCTAAAGCATCTGCTAAAGCTTGACAGCCATCATCACATAAACCCTCCCACATGACATCTCTACAGTAAAAGAAAACCAGAACTTAAACAGAAACTACTACCTTAAGACACTAAAAATTATAGTTAATTTGTATTTGCTGGAGAGTTATATTCTAAACCAATAATTAACACCATTAGTCCCAAACAAAATTAAAAAAACTTTAAAAGACCAACTATCACCCTTCAACTTGTATTATGGAAATAATATATAGACACATTACTGTGTAGTAATGAGGGTATTTATCTTTTTTAACAGTCTAATACCAATGTGATGGTGAGGGTATCTTTCCTTTATAACATTCAAATATTAATGTACAAAAAACTGACATCTCACGTAATAGACTTCAAAAAACTAAAGTTATATATTGTTAAGAAAACAAATAACTGCAGATGTTCTTTTTTCCACAATCAATTTTAATTTGTTCATTATGATGGAAACCAAATGTTTGTAAAAATAGCATTTCAGATCTTTACTCCGTCTCCCACAAGGCACTGCAAAGTAAATATTTTGTTCGATAACAAAACTCATTAGTTGGGCTGGATGATTAAGAAATTATGTTTTCGAAATACTATTTATATATGTAGAATAATATTTTAAAAGTTATGGTTTAAATGCTGGAAAACTATTAACATAAATTAAAAGGAATGTGGGCAAAAACATCTGCAGTTAACTTGTTTTTATAACAACTTTCTTATTGGTTTTTGACATTTAAACCATAACTTTAAAAGTTAAATATGCTAGAAATTTCATAACGTTTCTTAATTATAAGCCATAGAAAGAACAAAACTACAAGCTGATAAGATATATTTAATATAATTATATAAAATACAGCAAATTTGGATATATAAAAATTATGATGAATCTTTAACATCACCGAGTGAGAGTCTTTATCCAAATAACTTTTATAATGGTTTAAAAACTTTAGAAATATTTTAAACAACCCATCTTTTAACATTAACAATATATATAATTACATACCTCTTGTTATCTCATTATACATTGTTACATATTTCTATATTATTGTCCAAAAATTGAAAATCTAAAACATTTTTACAGTTTTAAAAAGCCTCTAAATAATTGTTTTATTACTTTACTTAACAACATCATGTACACAGACTATCAACCATAATTCAAACTACAAATGTTTAAATTTTTGTTTAAAATTTACTAATATTTTTATTGTAATTTTAAACGTTATAATTTTCCTATACTGAAAATGTATTTCAAATAAGTACTTCCTTCCACTCACAAGATTAGTTTTTCCCATTCTGTGCTGCCTTCTGTATGTGAACTTCTTTATAATGCAAGCCACAAGCCTTCCGCACCTCCCTATTGGAATCAAAGTTTCCAACACGTCTTTCATGCAATTCATCGTGCATCATCTCTTCACCAATAGGAGAGTGCTACTATCACCAGAAGCATGTGATTCCCTCCATGTGCCACTATCAAACCATCACTTTGAAGTTTGGCAGAAGGCGTAAGCACCGGAAAATTGTGGAGAGAAGAGTGGGAATTACCTATCGGAAATACATTGTCAGTATAGGACAATGGGTAATGGAGGATGCTTCCCATGGTGCAAAATGGTTAGGGCATGGTGGATTGTACTCAGTAAGTCAACTACATCCAAAACCTCTTTACTGGGTACCGACATCTGCACGAGGGTAAGATGATGATCATACCAGCTTCACCTCAAGCCCCAAAGCCATGGATGTGAAGTAAACACCAACTCTGGGGCATGATACAGGATTAGTGTCAAGCCAGGGATCCCAAAATGTGTCATCTGGTATCTGAGGGAAGTCCATTGCATGCAATCAACTTCGGCGACAATGAGATTGGTCCGAAACATCCAAAGATCAATAACATCCCTATCGCAAGAGAGAACAAGAGTGTCCAGGACAGAAATGGAAACAATCCACATACACCCCCTGTGACCCACTACACATCAGGAAGAATTGAGGGAGGAAGATGGACAACCTCAACCTGTGTGAGGACTTAAATTGATTGGTTCACTTGATATCCAAAACCAGCCCGTGGGGTACCGAGATCCTTGCAAGGCACCCAATCAAAGGGGTGAACTGCATTTAAACATCTCACTCCATGGTGTCACTCAATCTGGAGGATGTTACACCCTCTACGCTGGCAGAACACCATTTCCATACTCAGAATTGAATGGTTATAAGCATCTATGATGAACTTATCCAGCAGGATGCCTCCATGATCAACCATCCCAGTGGCTTGGAACTGGCAAGTGGTAAGGACTCCCATACTCCACTGGAAGAAAAATGGGGGGAAGAGCATTGGAGAGTCTGGAGGAATGGCTATACCTGAGACAGTGCAATGGGTGATCATGAAAACCCTATTTTGAAAAGCAGACCATACCAATTTATTCAGTCATGGCAAGGCAGGGATGAGCAGCTATCCCCTTCTGCTTTACCCATGCCATCCATGGGTGGTATGGTCGGGGACATATTTATTTATGAAGCAAATATCATGAGGTTATGGACCATCCAGTGATCTTGTGAAACACCCCATCTCAAAGGAGCGTACAGAGCCATGGAAAGAGTGAATGACATAGACAGCTAATAGATCTGACTGACACTGCCTTCAGGTTAAGAGGAGAAGGAAATACACCTTAAGGGATAGGTGAAACAAAGAGCACGAAGCAATGGGCTCAAAGGGAGGTAAAGTAAGGAAATGGAGTGCCACATTAATGTCCAAATCCGGAAGCACCAGACACTTATGTGGCTGATGTATCTGGAAAGAATGGATCAAAATGGCAAGAACGGGGGGAGAAAATACCCTTGATATCGACGAGAATGAAGACCCCTTCTCAAAAATCCATGTAAGAAACTCAGAGATACCAACAACCATAGGATGAGAAACTGAAATACCCCGAGCAGGCCCCAGGTGCAAAAAAAAATTCATTTTCATTGATACACAGCCATGGATGAAGAACAAATGGAATAAAATAATGAAATTCTGCCCAATGTGACAAACCAGATCTCCTCGCCAGGGACCAGACAAAAATCAGGCACGAAGATGGAGGGCGTGAAGTGCGGGATGCAGAACCGGGAATTGGGGTTGACAAAGGAGGTCAGGGAATAACTGTAGCTGGAGTAATCTAGGAAACCACGGTTGAATGGGCCAGTAAGGAGCAATAAGAAGGACTTTGCACAGAATGACATGGATGAGGTAGACTACCCAATGAAGTAATTGGATAGGAGGATAAACATAAAGGCTGAAAGCATCTGTAGCCAAAGCCTGAGGATGGGGAACTGGGGACCAAAACAAAGGTAACTGGTGATTGAGGATGGTGCCAAATGCATTGATATGAAGAATACCCCACTAATTGCAAAGCTACCAAAAAACAAGGAGATGAAGGGAACACTCCAATGGGTAAACCCAGTCAGGTTGGGAAAGATGACCCGCCACGAGGGTGAAAGCACTCAGTATGTGAAACGCCATCAAATGAATGTTATGATCGTGGGCCCAAAAGAGAAGATCCAATGTTAGAAAACGCATAGATCTCGACTGGGTGCTACCTTGGTGATTGATATGAGCCACCACTGTTGAATTATCAGAATGGATAATTACCAGACGATCTCTGAAGATGGGAAGAAAGTGATCCAAAGCCTGACAAACAGCAAGAAGTTCAAAAATGTTGATATGAAGAGAACGTTCCCCAACAGACCAAATACTCGAAGTCTCCTGGTGATCAACCCACACACCCCAGCCCTGAAGGAATGCATCCATGAACAGATGTAAATCTGGCTGTGGAGGAGAAAATGGGACTCCTGCTGATGTATGAGCCTTGTCCAACCATTCAAGGAATCCCGAGCAAGGTTCCGTTGGTCGTGGAGGACCCATTGAAGGGATTGCATATGAGCCCGACTGAGGGGTATGAGAGGAATAATAGAAGATCACATTCCCAAAAGCAATAGAACCTCATGAGCAGAAATTGAAGGAGCAAACAGGGCATTCAGAAAGGCCAGTTACACAGAAGAGCTGCAGAGGAGAAGGTTGGGCCCCACTGAGATGGGTGTTGAAGAAAACACCCAGATGAATGAGGTACTGGGTAGGGTGAAGGAAGGACTTCTCCAATTTGAAAATATGACATCACGACCCAAAAGGTCCCAACAACAAATGAACCATGTTTGCAGGGAGAGAGCCGAACGTGGAAGTGAGGAAGGAGACGACATCACCAGAAAACCCCTCAGGGCTCCTGTGAAAAGCCTCAGACAGGAGAGTGATAAAAGTCCTTAGTATTGGTCCACATATGGACAGTCTACCCTATGATAAGTGAAAGCAGACTGATCCAAAGCTCGTGGGGGACAAGATATACTAACACCATCACCTAACTGGGAGGCAAAACGCTCAGTTTAAATACGAATATCAGGGGATGAGGGAAAAAACTAAATAACGTTAGGAGGCAGAATCATGTAATAAGAAAGGTCATAAGAAATAGGAGCAATAGACACAACATCACACACGTGAGAAATAAAATCCGAAAAAGCTGACTAGGGCCAAACAGAATCCTCAGGTATGGTTTGGGAAGGCACAGTAAACTCCGAAAGAAACAATCAAAATCGTCGTCAGTCAAAATAAAGAGGGGCAACAGCAGGAGATAAAGGTTGTCCCATATAACGCTCAATCTCCCTGTGAATAAAACCAGATAAATCCTCCTACGGGTTGTCTGAAGAATGAGATGTACCTGAAGTGATAACGTGAACTTCGGAATTTATGCTTGATACCAAACAAACCAGTGAAAAGCTTTTGTGGCAAAATACGGGTAAATCAAATGCTTTCAAAAAATTATTGAAATAAAGTAAATTAAGTTAAACCACTTCGAAAAGTAATGAACAAAAAGAAAGACGTCTGAACTCAAGTACTGAGAAACGAGAAGTGATGGTTTGGTAGTGGCATTTAGAGGGAGTAACATGCGTCACATGATAGATATTGGTGGAGAGATGACACATGATGATTTGCATAAGAAATATATTGGAATCTTTGTGGAAAGCTTGTGGCATGTGTTATCAAAAAAGTTTGTATATAGAGGGCAGCACAAAATGGGAAAAGCTAATCTAGTGAGTAGAGCGAAGTACCGTATCAGAAAATTATTTTTTATTTTAGGCTTTACCTATGTAGAATTGAATAACAAAGCTTCTTACTTCACTTCATATCACACAAAACCCTACCTGTAGTTTGTTTCTGAATCAAACTGTAGTCCAGGACCTAGCACTATTGGATACATTGACTGAAAAATCAAATTGTTTTCATTTAATAACTGCTGACATACACAGGTTTTAGGGAAACAAAGCTTTCAGAAAAGTAGTTTTGATTCCAAGTAACAAACAACAAGGCACATTCACAAATACTTTTAACCTTGTACTACATTAAACAATAGCAATAGACTGCCAACAGCTTTTTAAAAAAAAAGCAAAACCATAGATGAACTTCACTGAAAGTATTTTGAAACCAGTAGTTCCTAACTCTATATTGTAAAACATGAAGTTTAGAAAACACAAGTCTAAATGTTTAGAGACCAGTGTTACAATAATTTACACATATATAATATTTTTTTCTTTGATAAAAACACTTATATTTCAGTTTACAGTCTTCAAATAATAAACTGAATAAAAAAGTTAAAAAGTCTTCTTAGAACTAAATAGTGATGTAATGACAGCTGTAGAATATGAGTAAAACTACCAGAGAAATATACTTTAAATCTCAGAATTAATTACTAATATACCAGTTTTAAGTCCACTGCATTTTATTTGAACCAATTGTGTAAAAACTACGAAAATTATGTATTTATGATTTTTAAAGAATAAGAACTTTTAACATACCTGACCAACCTTTTCTTTATTAATTAAGAACCTTGGAGTCTTAGCAGGAGCACTAAAATGAAAGAATATACAAAATTATATACCACCACAGTTCAGATATTTATATGTCACTGACTGAAACTTGTTCAATTTAAGAATGATATTTTACCAACAATACAACAATTAAATATATAAAATTGTTTTATCAAATGTTTTAAGAACAGAAAGTCCTTTAAATACAGACATTACTCTTGAATATTTTGCACTTAAAATAATAAATAATTGTCTTTACTTACTTGTCAACCAAACCTGCGAAAGGCTGTACACTCAGGGAAGTTCCAATAATTATCAACAAGTCACATATTGGGAAATCCTACCAGAAACAGAACAATTGACAATAGACTAAAAGAAACTCTGAATAAACTGCTAATAGCTCCTGAACTGCATGATGAAGAAACACTTTATCAATAGAAATAGCACTTTAATGCTACAACGCATGTAATCAACTTCACTTATATATTTGGTCCTTTATAATTAGCCTATATGTATTTAAATCCATAATAGTGATTATTACAGCAAGCAACTACACAAGTTTTAAACACATGGTTAATTTTTATACAATCAAAACCCAATATGTGTATCTAACTATAGCATTTATAAAACTAAACTTAAACCACAAAGAAAATGTTTTTGAAGTAAACCTAACTCATTCTCACTTAATGAAGTTTTTTTCTTTATTATAAAAGATAAAAACAAAGGAAAAATTTCTTTTATTAGAATTTTCTGACTTTTAGAATAAACATAACAAAATGTTATATCATAAGCAGTCAAGAAATAAACACACCTCTTCTGCACTGACAAAGAAACGTTCAGGCAAACGTTCACCAAAGAATACAATATCTGAAAAAGAAGCATACTAGAAAGCTTAAAGTATTTTTAAAGTTGTGAGTAAAACGTAAAACATATATTATTACTTAATAAAAGTTCTTACAAACATCATATGCTATTAACTTGAATCCTGTCTTATGCAAATATCAATAGAAAACTTAAAATAAACACTGTATTATCTCAGAAATTCCGTTATTCACAACATTTTTAGCATAACACAATCATGTAATATTCCAATTACTAAAAGATGGGTACTTAAATTCATAAAGCTCAGTTCTGTAAAATCAAAATATTTTACAAGTTCAATTGGCTTCAAATTCTTGATCTATATAAACAATATGTTTACATTTGTCTGCCCAGAACTTTTCTTGCAAATTTCTCAATCAAACGCTACAAATCTCATATCGTTAGAAAGGCCTTTGCCTGAGAAGTCCAGATTTCATACTGAATTCTTCATTCAGAATCATCTTATCTGTTTATTGCTTAGTCAAACTTTTTTAATGCAACAAGTATGGTACATAATGTAGTAGCCATCATGTGATGACTGGCTTCGATTTCAACATTAGTTTTTTTTATTTGCAAGGTATTTCACACAAAACTTAACCCACATGTAATTTCCTTAAAAATAAAAATTACACTAAAAGTAATTTTTATGGACTTTCTCAATTTATTTAGGTCTAAAATAAACGTGCAATCATATGCTTATTACTTTGTGTACACACATTAAGATGTTTCTACATATTCAGCTAAGTTTGCCTTCATTACAACTTTACATGTTGATGTAACATCAATAAGTCTCTAATGTAAAATGAAAGTGTGACAGCACTACTTCTCTGACATCAAATGAAGCTGTGACAGCACTACCTCCTTGATATAAGAAGTTGTAACAGTACTACTTCCATGATGTAAAATGAAGCTGTGACAGTACTACTCTGATGTCAAATGAAACTGTAACAGCACTACTTCTCTGACTGAACTGATTTGAAGAAGACTGCCTACATTAGCAAATTGTCATTTGAATTTTTATTAATAGTTGAAAATCATATAAGGATCAAAAGAATTATTTTACAAAGAAATAAATTTTTTTTGGGGGAGAACTCTTATTACATCAAATAATTGATTAAATAATCCATAAAATCTTCAACTACAAAAATAATCATTTGTTAGCTCAGGAAGAGACCCTAGAAATAAATATAATTTCTACAGGAGAAAATTATTTACAATATGTTTTGCCGAGCCAGAAACACAGTTTCTAACCTGGTTTTACTGTATCCTGGCATTCAGTACAACTTGGGACTTCATCAGAAAAGATTTTTTCTATAACAAAAACAAAAATCATTTCACTGTCACTCAACTAACATGCAAACGTGTTTCTGTACACATTAAACTAAGTACAACATCATTATCTTGCATTCAGGAGCTTAGTTTAAAGTTCTTCTAAATAAATACTATTTTAAATATCCAAGCTAAATCATAGTACTGGGTTGCCAAAAAATTTTGGCTAGATTTATTTTGAATGCATGTCAATGTCAAACTTTTTTTACAATTTATTGGTTAATTCTTAAAACTCATAATTAATAGAAACAACTCAAATAAAATAAAAATCTTCTGTTAATACTATTAGTTCTAACGATCTTGATACTGAATGCATATTTCTGTGCATGCCTGCAGCTAATACCAAGAAGGTATTTAATTGAAGACTAAAGCAAGTGAAACTAGATAAAACTAAAAAGAGGAAGCAGATGATAACAAATATCTTATCCAGTCCAAGGTGTATAGCTGACTTCAAATAGTATGAAGTAGAAAATAGAACTGACCCCTCATCCAATCCAAGGTGTACAGCTTCCTACAAGCTGGATTAATACAGTGAGATGTATGGAATGTCCCATGAGCATCCACAACTTTGTCAGCTGGAAGTCCTGCTAGAATTTCTAGTGTATCTACATTCTGAAAATATATATGTAACGTAAATTAGCCAATCTTGAAGCACATAAAAAAAACAACAACTAAGAAGCTTACTTTTTCACAATACAATACCTAAAAAAATTATTTCAATCTAGAATGAAAAAAAAAAAGATTATATAAAATACACATATGAAAGTTCAAGTTTTCCAGTCAACACTTAAAACAACCAAAAGAGCAGAATGGTCTTTGCTTCAAAAAATAAATAAATAAAAATGTTTAACTGTATAGATACAAATGCTTGTATACTACACTTCTAAATTTATGAACAGCTGAGAGAAAACTGAAAAGAGATCAGACGAAGCTTCTTCAAGTTTAGTGCTAGCAGAAAATTCCTGCTCTGCAAACAATGAAGGCAAATTGCTAAGTATGAACAAAAAATTGACCTTGTTCAAAATAATGTAAAAATGGTGGGTGTTCCACCACTTGAGCTTCCATATGATCGTAAAACCTACTTGGGACACCAGCAGAAAATTGTACCATTAATGGCTTAAATATGTTAATCAATAGAGATAATAGCAGTCATGGGATCACCCTCATGCTAAACGCAGACTGCTTGAATAAGGTCTCCAAAGAAGTTGCAGAATTTAAAAAATTGTTGGAATATTTGCATCAGCATTAATGTTGACTTCTAAATTCATTGTAGAAAAGTTATCAGTATGACTGTCGACAAGAAAACCTAAAAGCAGAGTTTACATGCATAATTCTGACACAAGTTCAATATTTCACATAAAAGATGTAAGAGTAGAGAACCATGGTTAAATTGATGCATGCATGGCAAAGTGTTCAGGATATTTAGAATCTGAGTCACATGTTTATTGACAGCAGAAAAGCAACTGAGCAAAGAAAGGTAATTCTGCCTGTTTTGGATACTATATATAAATAAATGATGCTTATCAGAAAGATTAGTGTATTAATAATGAGAATATCAGTCAGAAATGAAAACACTAAAGCATGTGTTCTTAAATTGTGGCTCAGGAATAAGTTTGAGGTGCAACAAATCTCTTTAAAGTGTTGTTTTTTTAAATAACTACTAATATTTTCAAAGAAACTTGCTTCCTCTTCTCACCCTCTCCACCATTTCGTTGTGAAAGTTTGTTTTTGGTATTCTACAGGTTTTAGGATTGTTTTAAACTCTGAATGTAGAATTGTATTATTTTACAACATCTATAGCAATAACAGTCTTAAATAATAATAAATGTTGTAACAAACCTTAAACTACAAAGAAACATTAATTTATTGTTAGAATTAGAAACCATAGCTTCAGGATGTAGAAAATATTTACAGATAAAGTAAGCACAATTTGAATTACAGTACAAGTAGATAACTGAAGCATGCCAAAGAGGAAAAAATGTAAAAAAAAAGTCAGAGCAGCATTAATTAACTACAGCCAAAAACATTCCATGATGGAATTTTAATAAATGCTGGTTCCTACAATGAGCATTTGTTTTTGGAAATATTGAAATTTCCTGTAACAAATGCTTTACAGATTTGAAGATTCCAGATAACAAAGCTTTCACTGTATACTTTAAATCCAGTAGACTCTAGTGGCTCAACAGTAACAATGAGTGCTTATAATGCTGAAATTCGTAGCTTGATCCCTGTGGTAATCTATTATGCTTTTTGTGCCTAACAACAAAACAAATTTCTTACAATTATAAAATAATTAAGACTTCTTAAGATTTATAGTTTCCTACACAAACTGACCTTTTAAAACTTATAATAAAAATTTACTTAAGAAAAATTACCTGTGTATACAGCCTCAGTAATTTTTTCTTCTCATATAATAACCTCAGAAAGTAATGACAAACTGTAGGCTGAAATATACAAAGCAAGATTCAACTGCACAAACTCAAGTATCTGTTGTTGTGCTCTCTACAATTATGAATAAAAGAAAGGAGAAGTGTATTAAACTGATAATAGTGTCCATATAGCATATACCCATAAACAAAAACATTAAAACAATAATTCTAACTTATAATTAAATAGAATAAAAATCACATGTGAACTGTATATTTACTAAAATATTCACCTTTTTTTTTTATTCTTTCAACTATATGCATTCTACACAAGAAATAGTGAAAATATCTTTTTTTTTCAGTTTGCTACCAATTTTACTTACATTAATTATAAGGTCAGTTTATACAAACAAGTCAAAAAATGGTTTTAAATTACAAAAATCACACACAATTATTCAATCTATAAATTGCAAAGTGCTACTACAGACAGTAATAACTGGTAAATTCATTATTTTTAATACTATTATTATTTCTAAACATCTCATTTACATCAATATAAAATACCTTCACTTTTCAGATATTTTACAAAGAATGTTTTCACATCAGGTGGGGTTCTCATTTTAAATTTCAGTCAAAACCCAGCTAACACCTAATGTTTCTATAATGTTGCCGAATAGTTGTGCATTATTAAAATCCACAAAATCATGCATTATGTATTGTGACAACATTGTGGCACTGTTAGACATTAATGGTGAATAGCAGTTGATAGCAGTTTACATTATTTAAAATACTGAACAACATTATTTGATGTATTTTTTTGTATGGTTTACACTTTTGAAAATTTGCAATGTAGGAAAACATTTTCACAACATTGCAGCAATGCTCCATGCATAACTTCTATTGAAACATAAATTGTAGCCTAAATAATATGTTTACACTTTCTACTTTGCAAATACATATTTTCTCAATTGTTTTATGGATAAGAAATATATCATTTATCTTTGATTTTACTGTTCATAATTAATTATAGTTATGGGTTGTTACAATGTTCCTGGCTTGGAAATGATGAGATTTGTATTTTCATAAGAAATATATATATATATAATAACATATATATAGCAAACCTATACTTACAGGAAGATACCAAAATATATTATATTCTAATTAAAATATACAATTTGATCATTAAATTTTATGGTTGTGTTGATCACAGTATATTTCAAACTTAAATGATATATTAAAAGTTATAATACATATACTTTCATGGTTACAAGGTTAGCAAAAATTATCAAGACTGTGTTGAAGAAGTTAACTCCTCTATATTTTGATGATAAGAGCAGCATTTAACAGCAAATGTACAATACAGTTGAGTTTTACCACAGACTGATCAGTCATGGCACACATTCATCTAAATTTCCCCTTTAATGTTTGAACTATCTTTGAACTCCTAAGAACAAGACCAAATTTTGAAATTCATAAATCTTCAGATGAAAATGTTCATTCCTCCCAGCAAAATCCCATACAGATTTTTTTATTATGGTACAAAATAAACAATTCACTTAAGAGTATCTTACCTTATATTTTCCAGGATATATTTCCTTTGCTAGTTGAAAGAATGGAGATGGATTCTCCTAGCATTGAGAAAAAATATTATTTTACAATCTTAGTTTGAGTTATCCTTTTCAACTCTTCTATCAATAAACAGTCATTCTTAATATTTTCCCAGAATTACAAAACTGCAGTAAAAACTTTAATGATGAAACCATAATACCATTTGGACCATCAAATTAATAATTATCTATATATGAAATTAAATCAAAAATATACAATACTGTTTCATCAATTAAACTCAGTTATGCATAAAGAACAGAACAAACAACAAATTATAATTATACAAAATATGTTTTTCTTTCATTTTTCCATACTTTACAATTTTAATATTTTAAATAAAATTCTTCTTCCTTCAGGAAAATATAATTCTGTGTGACTACTGTATTTTAAATTGATTAAACTTTTTTAATGTTATTTGTGGAAGACAGTCTCAAAGGTATATAATAAACTGAGATCAACACTGTCATTCTTTTAATCGAAAAATTCTAAGTGATATATTTTATTATAAATACTTTTTAATTCCTTCATCCATGAGAAAAACAAACTCTAAAATGAAATACACACAAACAGAAAAAAATATTTGGTACTTGGATTATTTGAAGCCTATATCTTTATAAGTTCTGTAATAAAGTTAAATTGATTACAAAACAAATCTATCTTAGTCTCGTAAGTGGTTTCTACAAATGAACTATTTTATTTTACTTTTAACAAAATGTATTTCTATTAATAAAGTTTTGAAAAAACATGAAAAATGCAATAAATATTCTTAAAGACAGTTAAAGAAGGAAACATGAATATATATATATATATATATGATATTACATAGAAACAAAAAAAAAACTCTTCTCTTTTTAGGGATAAAGAAGTAATGTTTCTTAGTTCTGTTCACAGGTAATAAAAATTGTACCTTAAAATAATTTATTTCAAAGATAGCCATGGGATTAGGTAGGTTATACTTTTGCAGGTTGGCATATATACCAGAGTCAGGGCTCCGGAAATCTGGGATACCAGCACCTTTAAACAGACAATAATTACAATTTTTCACAAAATAAATCCAGACACAAGTATAAATTCTAGTACTCTAAATTTAAACTGTCTGTAGTACCAGTTAATTTTCCTTGTAATAACATATCAATAATAATTTTACAATTGTTTGACAAAATAGAATAGTTGCAAGTCTTATGTTCTTAAATTTGTCATTCTTACTGTTTTGCTTTTAATTTGGTAACTACCATGAACTAGTATGCCTTAAATGGTTGTTTGTGTTTTAGGCTGTCATAATTTATTCAAATTTCACATTCTGAGAACTAAACTTACCTCTATGGCAATATTAAACTCCATATTCAAATCGTGTAGACTTACCTCTGAAATACCGAAAGCCTTTTCACACTGAGCTGTTCTTCTTCTGTCAACAACGTGACATTTGGTTCTGAATGTCCTTGATGAAATAAATTACATGCATCATCTTACTCAAAGTTCTCCACTCTCTCAATTTCCTCGTGACTTATTGAGGAAGAACTAACTAGTGAAAACTACATAAGCCCTGTTTTTCCAGCACAAGCCAAATTTCTTTGATTGCTGTCATTATGGCATAAAGGGTAACTAGACAGGTAACCAGTGTAAGAGTGCAAAGCACTGTCCTGTTCCTATCAATGGAAGATTCTCAGTGGAAAAACCTTGTAATTAAGTAAAGACTGGACAAAACCTTGATCAGTTGGCACCCAAGCAGAATCAAAATTAGCGCAGATGGTCATAATAACATACTCAACAACTTGAGGACAGTGTAATGGGGACACCATGTAAGGAAGTAACAGAAGTGAAAATGAAGCTGTATGGTGTATTCCATCTTGGTTAGAACTATGAGATGTCCATTGGAAAATGGATGTCACACCTTTGAAGTCTTGAAATATTATGTAAGGACATGCACATGAAAATTGAAAAAGATACCTTCCAAGTACCAACTCAGAGTGTGAAATAGTATCGAGAACAATCATAGAGGTAAATGGAAAATACATGAGAGTCCCGAGTGGATGAATCCATCTAAACATGGGGTCCTATTATACGCAAAAGAGACTATGAAGGTTTTTCAACTGAAACTGGACTTGACTGTTAGAGATTCAATTTGGCTTGGAAATCACCACAGGAAGCAAACAGAATCCTGAAGCTGAAGAGACAATAATTTGATGTAAGTAAATGTTTAAAAATTTATTCAGATTGGACCATGTATAATGTTCTCCAATTCGTCTTGGGAATGGAATGTTAAAGACATTTCCAATTGTCAAATTTGGTGAGAAGAAACCTGAAGTTCACTCTTAAGGTGATCATTTACATTATGGTAAATAAAAACAAAATCAACAGTGACAGTGACAGCCAAACAGTGATGTTGGCAGCTGAGAAGTGTGAGTCACAAGCAGGCACAAACCATCTCAAAACTCTCAAATGACTTGGTGCATGCAAGCTAACAACAAAACAGCCATGAAGGACCATCAAAAGTGATCCTCTGAACTAGAATCTGCATAAGTGAGAATAAATAACACAGTAGGTGAGAAACAGTGGTTACCATCCTTTTCAACCTGTCTTAAGTAAAACAAAAAACATTATATGGATACAAGTATAGAACCTTCAAAGAATATAAGGTATATGATATATTGAAGGTATATATATATTTGAACATCTCTTACCCAATGCAAGCAAAAATAATATAATATGTCTTAAGGGAAAGAAGATAAAGTGAACAAATCACTAGGGTTTAAAAAGTCAGAGAAGTTAATGAACAAAAGACTAAGTTCCAGTCAAACATAAACAGTGTATTGAAACTCAGGACACCGTAGATAAAAAGCTCAGAAAAGATCTGTGAACAATGGGAAAAAAAGAGACTGATGGCTCTCATGGCATCAAAAGGTGGCAGATAAGGCAGCTGTATAACATGTAGAGGAAGTTTACAAGCCACAATAATGAAAGATAAACAAAAAATGAAAATATTTATTGAGGAGATGAAGATAGATAAGATAAAGAATTCCAAATACACTATCACTGGAAGATAGTCCAACAAGACAGATAAACAGCAAGAGATGAAAACGAGCATAAATGGATTAGCATTTGAGTTACTTTGGAAGAAAATCCACCTTCTCAGACAAAGAACCAAACAACAAGACAGCCAAGAATTTGTAGATGTCAAACACTACTGATATAAAAAGTAGACATTTGAGGATGATGTAGAACTGTGGTTCCCAACCTGGGGTCTACAAAGGTAATACCATCTCATTGAACAAGTAAGTTTTGTAATACTGCTATTTTTATTAACTGCACACTCAGTTATAAATGACTTTTATTTGATAGTGAAAAATGGGAAAATGAGTTAATTATTAGTTAATAAAAACAATTTGTTGGGTAAATGGAAACTTACAAAAACATAGGGTCCATGGGGAAAAAAATAAATAAATAAAAGGGTGAAACGGTTAGGAACCACTAATGTAGAAGATGTTCTATGGTGGTAATGGGAATGGTTCCCTGTGAGAAAGTTTATGTAACAGGTGAAACCACGTTTGGGCCTACTAAAGTGGAGCAATGAGGAGAAACTGACACATAATGAAACTGATTTTGGCTAGTACCAATGGATGCAGCCAGGAAGAGAATAGGCATGAAAAAAATATTCTCCCAGTCTTGACATAATAGGTGTCCACAGCCATTGAAACTGGATCCACAACTGGAGACCAGCAGAATGGAAGAAGAATGCTGTCTGCCACTGCAAAGGCATTAATCAATGTATAACCCAGCCATTCCCTACTGGTAAACAATTCAAGAATTGAACAGCATTAAAACAGATGCTAATTTTTACTGATTTTAGGTAATGTTCCCGAGATGTTGGTGTAAGCTGAACTTGCTGATCAGATTTTGAACTAGCCACTGCCAAATTAATCCAGCATAAAAATATGGTTTTCTTGGAATAAAGTTGGTTTGGGCTGGACGTTTTGGTATCAACTTCGAAATATTGCTAGATAATTCTTGAACTATATATACATAGTCAAAGCAAAAACAATCTATTTGCAAAGATAGTTTAATCATAATTTAATAATCTTTATTATATACAAAGGGGGTAACCCAACAACTGCCCCCTGCAGCCATATCTCACAATGAAAGGAATATATACGTTTCAGAAAAAAATGGAACAACATTATAAACAGTTAAAAATATTCCCTCTTTTGAAAAGATCTGGATGTTGCCTTAAGGGGTACTCATGAGTTAAAATAAAGCAGCAGTGGTAGGAAAATTTGTCCTATTACAAAAACAGAAGCTAAAAAAAGAAATACTAAAGAAACAATAAAGGGTTTAAGATAGTGATACAATGGATGAAACAGGACATGTCGATAAGCATACTGGATTTCCAGCAGGCTTCATGAAATATCACTGAAGAAACTTTTTATGAGAGTCATATATTTTCCATTTTCAAATAGAGTAACTGCATATGTGGCTGAATTGAGACAGATTTACCACAGGTCTCTAATCTCTCAGTTTTCTTGGGATTGCAAAATAATGAGGTGAAATACTTGGGATTACATGGAGAACAATTTAGCTCCTTTTTATGAGAGATCTAAAACGTGTAGACAAATTGGATCAGAAGGAAAGATGCAGGATGAGAAGAAAGGAGACAATAAAATCAAAAGGAAAGATTGGACTAAAGAATCTGTTGAACACAAGGGTCTGCAGATGAACAAATGAACTAACATGACCCCTCCGCTCCAATGATACAAACAGAGGGTACATCTGGAAACTAAAGTGTGTCATTGAGCAGTTCAAGTAGTACCACCCTGCAAAGGTGTATGTTTGGTAACTCAATGTTGGTGAAAGGAATGAGAAGCAGCAGTATGTTTAGAAAACTGAAGAGCACAAAAAATGTGGTTAGGCAGAGGGATGATGAAAGTCTGTTGGGCATCCGGCAGGGAAACAGCAACCGGGAATTTAAAAAAAATCAAGAGGCTAGAATGTGAATGAGCTCCTCCTGATTTGTCTCTCTTGAATGTGAAACTAATTTCAGTGAAATTCCTTAAAAAAAGAATGAAGCAAGAAGGAGTCCCTTTCAAAGGCTGCTGAAATATTAGATTGGGAAGACGAGTACCTTGCAAACTTCATGACAAGCTAGTGTGTCAAACAAATATGGAAAACCACATTGTAACAGATAATAAATCAGTGGTAGCTGCTGACAGTGAAGAGTGCAAAATAGAAAAACTGATCCTGATTAAAATAATCACAAGCAAGAGTATCAGAAATGACTGTGATGAATAAGTCTCAGAACGAGACAAGTCATAGTGTGTAGGAAAGAAAACTAACAAGATAAGAAAGAAGACTAAGTGAATGACCCTATCCCCCCCAAAAATTACCTAGGGTCTAGAACTTGTGAAGAAAGATGTGTTGTAGAAGATGATACTGCTAAAGAGAGGAACATGGTGCTGATTTCTGAAGTGATCAGCAAAATTCAAGTATCAGGAGAAGGTGGAAAATATAAAGATTTAGTAAAAGAATCATCTAACATAATACTAAAACCCTTATTCATAAAAGTATTTTTATATATTTTTTCATAAGTTCTGTAAATAAAATCTGAATTATTCTCCCACATCAAAATTGCTGAAAACTCGTTATATTTTCACACATCTATATTGTATAAATATGATAATAGCATGACTACAGTATCAAAAATTTTGCAGTAATGTTTTTGTTTGAAATATAGGATTTTACAGATTTTTTAAAGGTTTCAGTGGAAGGAATTTAGTATTTAACTAGAAAAAAGTGAAAAGTCCAACAGGAGCTTCCTCAGGATTAGGACTAGCAGATGTCCCACAAATCGAGTGTCCACATGAATGGGAAATCTTACTGGGAGATCAACAGACAATTCAATGATAAGTGAAAGCTGACAGACAGCCACGGGATCTCCTCACACACCAGGAGAAGATTGTGTAAACAAGGCCTCCAAAATATTTGAAAGAGTTGTAGAACTTCTTCCATTAACAGAAGTACTA